TTAGGATCATCCACAGGTACCTATACTGTAGATAGGTCTTAGTCATCAGGTCTACTCCACTTCCTTGTTGCCTGCTTAGACTCTTGGCACTCTTAGGTGAGCAGACTTAGTCAGCCTGTGTTGCCCTAACAGCTGGTATAGATGAGTATAAGTGGTGTGCATGTAGAGTAACAATGTGCTAGCCTCAGGGACCTGAAGAAGATTGCTCCATTCCATGCAAGCAATAGCAGCTGAAAGGATGTCATCTGGGTCTTCTACAACGTCCAGAGGCACAGGTTTACTTCAAATTGCTCCAGCTGACCCTATGAAGCTAATTGCACTGATAATCACCATGCTATTCTCAATGAGGTGAGTGTCATTCATTTGCAAAGGAGGACCAGTATATGCATACCAAATTCTGGACACTTTGCAATGAATGTGTTTGCTGATCTTGATAATCAATAGTGGAGCCAATTTCCTCTTTGATATGAGATCATTCAAATTGGTGGTCAACATGACAGGAATGCTGGTGAACCCATCACTGATCTCCAGCCTGTTGCGAGATGAGAACCAGTTTGAGTACAAGACAAGCAAACATACATATACTGCTCACATCTGAAACTGAGGTCATTCTCATCTCAGATAGTGAGGGCTTGGACAAACCAATTGGGGATAGGTTGATCTGCCAACAAAGCAGCACATGTACCTCTTTTCAGAGAGACATACATAGTGGTATTCCAGAGAGTTGCATTGATTTGCATCTGGGTGATGATGCTTGCATATTTAATAGATGTTATGGGGGACTAATGGGGGAGGATGTTGGTATTATATTGATTCTATAATACCAACAAAGTTGATTACATATCATACATATAGTTCCTCAGAGATCATAGGCTCCAGATGTTGTTTCAACATTACCAAAACAATCAGGTGGTATGTATCTGCTCCACATGCTTTGGGTAAACATGTTGTGTGATAAGCTAAGATGCAACACTGGTACCAAGTCACCTGTGAATTGCATAAGAGATCTATTACAACAGAGTGAATTGGTGATCACATACTGTGATTGATAGGATTGGGGGGTGGAGTCTGGACTGGAGGGACAATCTGTCCACTACTCAACATCAGTATGGGGCTGCAGGTCATAAGGACTGGGAAAATACCTGATATGCAGATGTGAGGATGGGAAAACATCTCTCCATTTCATGAACCAGAGCTGCTGTGAGCTTCCATATTTCAGAAGTTGACATGCATCAGAGGGAGTGACTCATAGCATCTTGCCCAGGTTGATTCACTGATCATGGATTGGGGCATCAGAAGCTGAATTAACAATGCTGTGCAGATGGACAAACCAGAGGACATAATTGTTTGATAGTGTAGCTCACTGGTGACTTGATTAACCATTTGAACAAAGAGCAGGAGTTTCATTCACCAAAGGGTGTCATTCCATCAGGGATGCAACAAGATTGCGTCTGCCATGGAATCAGGAAGGGGATGACCTATATGAGGTCACTACCAACCTGGGTCCATAGCAGATTGTAGGAATTGATGTGCAAGGTATAACATCATAACCATCACTGGAAGGGGACAGGTTGATCCTGCTGCACAGATGGTTGATTGAGGAGAGTCAGGCTGTGGGTGCAGATGCCTGACCATGGCTCCACCTGATCCTTCAACATCCAGTGAGCTTTCCATAATAGCGCAATGGGTCACCTCCAGGAACACAGCTTCCATGGGAAGCAGAAATGTAAAGCAACATCAGATATTGCAAAGAAGGGAGTAGCCAAGCCAATGAAAAACACTTTTATTGGTCCCCATTGCCAGCAAGCATTGGGAATGCAGAGGCTTTATACCAGTAAGGCAAAGGGATTGTCATGAGCAGGCTTCATTGTGACTAGCCTCTAAGACACCCAACTGAGATCAGGAGATGTTAAAACACCAATATCGAGCAGGGTTGTCAACGTCAATATGTGATTACATCCCATGTTACACTGTAAGGAAAGAAGGAAGGAAGTGAAGCAGTAATAGCAGACAATACACTTGAAGCCAGTGAGTGTCTTGACAGCCCATTATATTATAATGAAAACTCTTCCTGAATTCTACCATGTCAAAGGAACCCCTATTGTGGATGCTTGTGAAGAAGGGCAGGACAATGGCAATGACTTCTAAGCATCTTTGTGCATGAGATTACCCAGTGAAGTGCCTTCAAGAGTTGACCATATTGCGATATCACTGCCTTCCTCATAGAAGTACACATGAAAGGCTTCTGGCAAATTGTCCATGACATAGGGGAGGGGATACTACACAGGCAGCCACCTATCCGCATAGCTTTCAAGCCAATTTGTCATGGAATCATGGTCTGACAACTGACTGGGATGCCAACTGTGTGTGGATGGGCTTTGAGGGAAATCACTGGGCCAATCATGCTCATGTGCAAAGTTTTTGATTGGGATAGGCTGATTGGCAGGATGGGAAGGAATCTGGGGCGCAAGACTGGGATAAGAGCCAATAAGAGATTGCTCTGTTGTTATTGTCTGCAGTCTTGATGAGCTGGCAGATCAGGGTGTCAGGAATGGAGAAATTTTGGAGAACACTACCAACAAGATGCATGATGTTGGCAGATGGCAAAGCTTGGTGAGCAGTAGGTACGCCTTCAGGAATAGACACTGGGGGCAACAGCATGACAGTAGTAAGTTCAATATCTCCAGGTTAAATGGCTGCTGGTGTTGGGGTGGGATGTGGAGAAGGTTGGTGATATTGCATGGATGTTAACCCATGCTGGAAGGCAGCAATTACATTGACAGCACCATCTGGAAGAGTGAGGCTGAAAGGGACATCCAAGTGAGGTAGGCAGCCTGAATGGCAGTATCAATGCTACAACCCAAATATTAGAGGAAACACCAAATATTAGTGAAGGGAACCAACATAGGATGTCATAAATTGATAGACCAAGTCATGACCAACACACACTGCATCCAAAGGCATTTGAATGCAGGCCTGATGATTTAACTCTGCAAGAATGATGGCAAATAAGATATAGTGGAGACCATCTGCCAGTACCTGGTGCCAGTCACCGAGAACATCATCAATGGTGTCCTTCTCAGGAGGTTGAAAAAGGCACAAACAAGCTGTTGAAATCATTTGTCAGCTATCTTGACTAAATAGAAAGATTTTACACAGGGCGGCATGGACTCCAACTAGTTGCATCCACCTCCAGAGCTGGTTAAAGCCATGCCCCCATGATTGGGCCTGTATATGAGGAGGCATTTCACTGAGTCAAGCAGAGAAGGTGTTGGGATTGAGGGATTGTAGACAGCGAACCTGGCTGTTATGTATGGCAAGTGTTTGGGGGTCAGCCATGTTTTGAGTACCTCAAGTGTACACCTGCAATGTCTTTAAGCCAGACATTGACCATGCCTTGTGGCATACATGCTGAGGCCTTGTGGACTCTTTAGCAAGATGGCAAGACAGGATTAGTAGCTTCCAGAAGAGCTGAAAAGTAGATATTTCTGTGTACATCACATAAAACTGGCAGATGTGCAGATAGAAGATGTACAGGCTGCCTTATCAACATGCCAGCATAGCGAGGGAGTCCTTGCAGAGCACAACAATGCATAGGGACCCATCAACATCTTCGGCCAACATTGGCAGATGAGGACTGCCAGCACAGTTTCACCTTTACTGCCACCTGGACATGCAACCCACAACAACCCAAAGCTCAATCTGGTGCCCAACAGACAAGTCATTTGATACCACCATGAGCACCACAGTGAGTGGGGGCTTGTTGTTGACAGGTTTCACAGAGCTGATAACTTAGGAATTGCTGAGCAACATCAACCAGAGGAGAATTGATGACATGGTTGACCAGGTCCAGATGTACCTTGAGATGTCCCATGCATTGGGTGGTTATTGAGGAGTGCTGTACTAACATCAAGGGAGTATTAGATGAAAGATTGCCCACCTTGTATCGAGCAATATTGCCAGATCTTCATTGCAAGATTGTTCTCAGTCAGGCCCTTGGTGCAGTCAGGCAGCACAAAACATGGACAACAATGTTATGCAATATGTCCAACACCCCACCTGGCAAGGTGGAAGACATCTGGCACACACATGCACTGGACGTGCTGCAAGGAGGTGGAGAGCATATTAGATGCTAGCAAAGGTATATGCATGGGAGTGTGAGGGGATGATATTGGCATCAATGTGGGGATGGCATTGCAGAATTGTGAGCTCTCTTTCTCAAATTGTGTCTGGTGAAGGCAGTCTTCATTGCGAGCTGAAGTTTATCATGTACACATGTATGGAACAAATAGATGGGATTGTGGACAACTTTGGTTTCAGGAGCAGTGGCACTAGACAGTTGCTTGGACAGAATACAAAGCATTGCATAAGACAAAGTGACATTCAAATAGTATTGTTCAATGTTAGTCCAGTGTAGTCACTTGTATTTGGTAGGGAATGTACAGAGAAAGGATATCAGTGGTGCAGTGGGTAATATGATGTACAAGTGTTCCTACAATACAGCATGTGTTATGATGGATCCTCAAGCAATCAAGTGTCTGAGTGCTGGTCAGAACTGTCCCCACCCTGATGTTCCAGTGCTTTGTGTAAACATTGATTCTCCTTCTTCAACACATCCATCTGACGTCTGAGAATGATGATCAGGTGCATCTCGCTGATCAATTCTTCCTCAAATGACTTGGCTTTATTGTGCCAAGATGAGGAGTCAGCAGGCTGAGCATCGAAGGCAAAATCAACAGGGCTGACTTCAACTTTGATCTAGAAGCAGGAAGTTAGAATCAGGGCACATGAGCTGGTGAACTACACACCTCGTCATCCATGGTTAGATCCACAATTCTCACCCTCTTCCCTTCTGGCAGCTTGGTGAATCCGGCATGGGAAGCGGAGCATTTCCCAAAGGCAGAAGGACCGGGAATAGACTGTAGAGTAAGGGGGACTGGGGGGGTGGAAGGAGGCTCTGTCACAGTTACTGTTTTTGTCAAATCCATTGTGGTGCCTGGGACTGCTATTTGCACTGAATGGGTGCCTTGGGACGTGGCCATGGGACCAGAGTTCTGATCTGGACAGTATTGAAGGAAATCTAAATAGGGACGTAAAGCTATATGCATGTTAGGGTGAGAAGGAGTGGAAAGTGTTAGGACTCTTACATTGTGTGATAGTGTCAACTGACTGCTCAGAGGAAGGCATGGGGAGGTCAGTAATAAGTGAAGGAGAATTATTGGGGTGAATGTCATTCTTATGAATAACTTAGGGACTGGTCAACAGAAACAAATGTGTTTCTGTCAACACATTGAAGTCACCGTCTCCTCAGGCTGAATGCCCCCTTCCCCTGTTTTGCACTCATCTGTCAGTCACCACCACGGCAGACTCTTTAACCTCTGGAGCTTGTGCAATGCTTGTGAATAGCTACAACAAAACATTCAAGAACCTGGTGATGCAAGTATTGGACATGTATCTGGGTACAATAAAAGGGCAGTGGGTAGGACAATGAGATGAATATGGGTAAGTGGTCCATGGTTTCCCAGTAGAAGGACAGAGAGCTAAGCATGGCAAACAGTGCTACAATATCAGATGGAACTTTTGCACTGTTGGTGATGTTGTCCCCCAAACTGAACAAATATATTGAAGATGGCGATATCAAATTGGGTGCCTTTCTTCAGATCCAGTTGGTGAACAGGAAGATGGTTGGAGGGTATTGGTATGCATACAGCTTGTACAGTAGATTTGATTCTTTCTAAATACTGACTCTAGATTGATTGTGGTTACAAGAGCAGTACCTGTTGGTGCGGCAGGAGAGATCTGCAGCTCTCTCACAGAGATCAGCCTTCAGGTAGGAGCAATTGTGCCCACCAAACCAGTTTCAGACACAATGCCCCCAAGCCATGGTTGTACCATGAGTAGCACAACTTTTAGATGTTGTATCACACCAAAAAGCCAGAGCACAACTCCATCTGTGCCCAAGGATGCAAATGATGGAGGAAGTGTTTGGGGGAATGGCAGATCAAAAGAGCAATCCTCAACATCCCAACAGGGAGGGAAAGGAAGGAGCATGTTGATCAAAACATCCACTGGGTCAAAGGGTGTCGGCCATGCTGGCCAGTCACAAGGCAGGCAAGCCTATGTTGGGCTGAATAAATGCAGTAAAGGATTGAGTATGCATCCCAATGCCAAGGTGTCTCATGCAAATGTGAGCTCGAAAATACAGGCTTCGTCTCTGTCCAACACCCAACCACAGTCTTCATCCAGTGCGATGGGATCATCCTCAGCCAACGGCCACTTGCCTGCTTCAGCTAATGCCGCCTTGACTGTCAAGGTGAGCCAACATCTAAATCTGTCCAACTTCATCACCACTGCAGCCTTGGAAATGGTAGAGCCTGCTCGTATTGATTTGTCAGAGCTGAACACAGGCCTGCGCTTCAATTGGACAATATATGGGCACATATACATCATCAATGGCCCTCATTGCTGGAAAAACGATATGAATGAAGGGATTATTCTAATGCTAAAGATTGTGGATAAGGCTGGGGTATGTCAATGGTCCCAATGGCTCAATGAGTTCCCCTGACATTTTGTAGAATAAGATGCTGGTCAGGTTGTTTGACCCTGTCACAGTTGATTGCATGATGGCAGAGGCAGCTGTGGGAAAGGTTTGAAGTAACCTCACATTGGAGGCCTGATTGTTACTCATGCATTGTTCTGCAGGTGATGAAACTCAGCAATGTGCATGTGTGTCCAGTGAAGGTAAAATTTTGCCAGCCGGACATCTTACCTTTCCAAATGATGTTGAAGTACAATTCCAGTTTCTCATTCCCAAATTCTGTAGGTCAAAATGTCTAGAAAGCCAGACAATCTACTGACTGGTTCTTAGGACTTTGAGATACCTGCCATGTCCATGCAGTTGACAAGCATTCACCTGCTCTGCAGGTTGGAATTCAAGTCTCAGGTGAATGTTCTGGGTGTGGTCCTGCACATAGGGCAGGTGGCATTGTTTTCCCAGAAAAAAGGTGTTGCTAGGGAATTAGATGCTGATGGGGATGAAGGAGATGATACGGTGGAATGCTGCCGCCTCAAAGTACAGCTGGTGGACCAATTGCTCTTCATTGTCCACTTGACTCTCTGGGATCAAAAAGCAGATGACTTTAAGGGAAAGTGTGGGGATGTTTTGTTACTGAAAAAAGTTGTTGTGGTGAATCATGGTGGAGTGAGCTTGAATGCTTACAAGTTCACCAAACTGGACTTCAAACCCAATATTGCTGGGGTTACTGAGTTGAAGGACTGGTGAGATACAGTAATACATGTGGCTTATTATTGACAATGCTCCAGGTACAAGGCATTGCCACCAGAGCCTGCACTGAAACACATGTCTTCTGGTTACAGTGCTTCTGCTGGCCTTCAGGACAGGATTGTTCCATGGTCATCCCCCTTATCTATCAAGGATGTGTTGGAATTGAACCTGGGTCATGGTGTGAGAGTTGATATGTTCCACTTGGAAGAAGCTATCACTGGATTTGATTGTCAAACTCTCTACAAAGGATGCTGCCACCCAGACTGCAATAGGAGCTTGGAAAATTGTGAGCATGTCTGTGGAATTGCCAGTCATGCAGTTCAGATGCAGGACAACAGTGAAAAACATTGGTGGTGAGTAGTGAAGCCATATGCTTCCCAGACCAACTACTCAACTTTGCCAAGTTATAAGGTGGTGATGACTGTTGGGACGAAGGCCAAGGAAATGCTCAAGCTCATGGCATTCTTGGCTGTGGCAGACAAAATTCTGAATGAAGCACCAGAGGAGTTGGTGAAAATGAGAGTAGGTCTCTTCCCCAAAGATCCCAATATGTAACTGAAGCAATGCAGGACAATAACAAAGGTGGGTATGATGCACTATTGTCTTCCAAGCTTGGGGCAATTTACAAATTCACCATTCAAGCTCACACTCACTGCTGGAAGGTAACATTCTGTTAGGGCAACACAGGCTGACTAAGTCTGCTCACCTAAGAGTGCCAAGAGTCTAAGCAGGCAACAAGGAAGTGGAGTAGACCTGATGACTAAGACCTATCTACAGTATAGGTACCTGTGGATGATCCTAAGAGACCAAGTCTGAAGAGACAGTCCCAGGCAGAGTAGGCCTTATATTTATACCTCTGTGGTGGAACCTGCTAGAACATCTTGCTTACTCAGCCTAGTCAGGTGAT